TCTACCAAAGTAGCACCCCTAATGACTCCACAGAGACGCCCAAATTAAAAATGGTGGAAAATAATTCGTCATCACCAGGATTTAGCGACTGGGTGCCCTATTCCCTAGTGGTCCTTTAAAAGTTATAAGTTATTTTCTCCGTCCTTCCAGCGTGCTTTCATAGTGTAACGGTAGCGCCCACCAGCGGCCGAGCGGTAAAGTCGCTGAACCACTGGTAGTTCGGTCCAAGGTTCGAATCCCGCGAACAAGCTGGCTGCATGGGCGTTTTCGTGGTTTTCCCCATGTGTAACGTGTATACGAGCCAGTTTCCCTTAGAAAGTCCTCCACGAAGGCATCCCTCCTCTTAGGCAGATAGCCCTAGTGTGCTTTGCCATAATTAAATATACCAATACCAGTGTAACCGTAGCACACTTGGCGCGTATTCTAGACGTCTTTCCAGTCCCGGCTAGGGCATTGCTCATTTTTCATGTACTCCTTGAAAACAGCCTAATGCCTCTACAAAGCAAATGGACTGAAATTTCCAGAAAATTTAGGATTATGAATGAAATAAATTTTGAACTAAGAAAAGGAAGATAAACATAAAATATTAATGTAAAATAAAGGACACTAAAGAAAAAATTACATACATAAACAATTTATTAACATAAAATTTATGGACCGAAAATTCCATAAAATGTGGCTTAAAATTAAAAGATTTAAAATAAACTGAAAAAGGAAATTGTAAAAATAGCGCATTTTCAGTCAGTTCAGCAACTAATGCGAAAATAAAATCAATACTGCAAACTTGAAATATCTAAATAGAATCCACAAAAAACTGGAAGAAGACTGAAAATGTTTTTAGTCTTAGAAGAAACCCACAGCAAAACCTTTCCTTCTTACATCTTTCGTATCTGCGATTTCCACAGAACTAGTCTTTCTATATATTAGTGGAACGTATGGATAAAAATTTCATTTTATTCACCAAAAATGAAGCTAAATGTACAAAAACGAACATGCCAAACAACTAAATATTGCTGTAGTCCAAAATAGACAACAAGAATCCTCGCATTATGCATAATTTTGCAAGGCTAGAGTTCCAAAGGTTAAACAAAGCCTTTTTTAGTTACTTAAGTGAAAAATGACAAAAAAGAAATATGTGGCAATATGGAAACACCACAGAAAAATATTGAGAATGTTCTAGTTAAATGATAGATAATGAAGTTTCTAGTGCTATCTAATGATGGTGAAGTAAAAAAAAAAAGCGTCTAAAATGTAAATCTTTAGAAAGCTATCGGTAGAGAGGGATTAAATTGTTATTATTAACTAGAACTGGAAGATTTTTGTGTATTCTAAAAGCTAGCAATCAACAGGAACTAGCAGAAATTTAATTCGACTTGAGACTTTTATGAATAATATTAACTTCAGAGGAATACAGAAGATTAGAATGTTTTCAAATTTCACTCTGTACCAATTTCAGTTTTGTACCAATTTCAGTTTCGCAGCTGGAAAAGAAGGTGCTATTGAACCTAAGAGAATAGAGAACCAAAGCAAAGTTTGCTTCTATGAGGTTAGTTTAATTGATTAAGAAAAAAACTCAAGGGCTATTTGTCTATGATGCTTTCGGGAAGAAATTTTGAAGGAAACCTGTCTCGTATATATGTTATCGCGAAAGACCGAAATTGGAGAATGTCGACTTTCACCAGAGAATATCAACATTCACCAAACACGTCGGTGAAAGACCGAATATTTCAGTACATTCTTGTATATTCGGACCCTCACCGGTGTATGTCGACAATCACAGATATGCTCTGGTGAAAGTCGAAAAGAGAGGTCATAAAGTGCCATTATAGTTTAAGTTGCTGCAATAAATAAGATTTGAATCACATAATTTAGTAAGTTTTTTATAACTGTTTTATTATTTTCTCATTTAGAACGTACTGTATAATTAAGTAAGTTTTTAACTTCTATTATTTCCTTTTCTCATTTTGAATGTATTGTGTGTTTTAGGTTCTCATGTCTTAAGTTCTTATTTCAAGTTTCAAGTGCGTTTATTCGCGCTGACTGAATTACGGAGAAGAAAATATAATGTTGTATATGTTCAACATTCACCATTAGTACATGGTGAATGTCGACATTGACCGGTGTAAGTCAGAAATAAGAGTATTTGGAAAATATTTCGGACATACACCAAGAGACTATGTGAATGTTGACATTCACAGGTGAAAGTCGACATTCTCCAGATTTCGGTCTTTCACCGTAACATATATATATATATATATCCATTCTGTTACTTGGCTCAGAGAGCTCAGTTTCTTTATTCTTATATGATTGTAAATTGCGCATTTTTTGCTTTAAAAAGGATTGAATTATGTTGGTCTTATCTTCCGGTTAAGGTTTTTATGCCTTTAGCTAACCTGCATGTTATAGTTGTAGAATTATCAATAATTTAATAGTTGTTTAAGTGCGGCTAAGCCTAATTTGTTTATAGCAGCCAAAGTTGTTTATATTTGAAACTCAGCGGAATGTTGTTTGCAGCCAACCTATAGAAACTTAGCAACAACAAAGTAACGTCTTCTTTTATTATCACGAATTTAATTACGCTTAATTAATTCTAGAATTATTGTTTAAGTTATTAAATTATCTCATATATTGACTCAGCGTAGCGTCCACAGCAAAGTGAGACAGTTTCTACTCCTTCAGTGGCTTTTCGTCGAGTGAGACCAATAGTAAACTTTCAGTTTTGCACACCGAAACATCTGCCTACTCGCCAGCTGGCCGATTTGCTTGTTTTTGTATAGAATATGTAATTTTAATTGTAAAAATTGTTTTTTAATTGTTTTTAACTGAACTTGGCATTTCTAGACCTTTGAATTTTTAATGAAATATTTTGAATTTTTATGTACTTTTGCCTTGCTGCGAACGGAGAACTGAATTAAATAGTAGCGCATGCGCATTAGGTAAGCGACGCTGAATCGTCTGTGAAAAACTGTTTCTTTTTTATGTGTTTAATTCCTTTTATTAATCGCTTTAGATTTAATATGGTGTTTGGTCAGAACATGTGGTAATTCTTCAGGTGATACGATTTTTGGGCACTTTGAGTTATAAAATGAATGAGATGTAACACTCTTAAGTGAACCTAGCGCCAGAGTGTCACTATGGCAAATAAATACAGTGAACTTTAAAGAGTGCATTTATTCTATTGTGGTTTATGCGCAATCGATGAAACAGATTTAATTCAAAATTCGTTAACTGGTAATTAAATATGTTTAAATGAAATGCAGGAAAAATGAATATAATTTAATATTCCGTACAAGGAAGTCATGTGGTGTACACATCGGATTTTTACTGCGAATTTGCTGTTATACTTCCGTAAGATAAATCTAACTAAATATAATTATAGAATTATTAATAATGTTATCATTAAGAAATTTACATGTTTATCAGTTCCTCACGTGTTCTCCTACGTAAGCACATGGTTTATCTTGAGCAACTGCATTTTCACTATATTCATGTAAAGATGTTACAAGTTTGCCTTTCCCTGATTTCTTAAGGTGACGTGGAAATCTTCTGTAAATCGTCACATGATCTCATGAGTAACTTGCTCCAATGCTACATTTCATCAGCTCCACAGAACTCATGTCACTCTCCTAACTAATCATAACCCCAGTAGTTTTGACGAGTTAGGATTTAATCTCCGTATATGTAACACCTTGACGAAGACCAACTCGAGTGGTGTTCATCAGTACACTTACCAATGTGGCAGTTATCTGCAAGAATAAAATGGCCGCTACTTTCTTCGTCCTTAGGAGTGGCCAATGCTAGAAAGGCAAGTGCGCGCCGTAAAAACAAATTATCTGCAATTACGTAAAAGACATATTATTTTGCAAAATTTGTCTCTAACATTTCCTAGCTCTCTTCTTTGTTAATTAAGCGTATACTTGAATATGTAAGTGTAGAGACATTAGATTTTTCTTAACCAAGAAACGCGAAAAATGAGCAATACTCTCGCCGGGGCTCGAGCCACGTGCCTCTCGAATACGCGCCGAGTGTGCTGACTACTACTCCACGAAGGCATGCTAAAAAGGCGGGAGAAATATCTTATACACTTCCCCTTTTAAAGGGCAACTGGGGATTAGGGGACCCAATCGCCAGATCCTGATGGTGGAGAATCATCATCCACCACTCCTTTTGGTTCGGGAGCCACTGTAGACACATCAGGATTTTTTTAAATCAAGAAACGGGAAAAAGGAGTACTGCCCTCGCTGGGATTTGAACCAGGGACCTCTCGAATGCGCGCCGAGTGTGCTGATCACTACACCATGAAGGCATTCAAAGAAGGCAATATAAGAACAAAATCTCGCGCTAATCAAAATTACAAGGAAGGGACCACATTAACAAAAGACAGGATCAAAAGTAGAAACATTTACTTTTTTTAAACAATACCAAAAGCAGAACGTCTTCCTACTACGTAAAACAAGAAACAGCTGTCATTCACAAAAAGAGTAATCAAGACAATGCAATCTGTTTTACAGCCGCTCAGACAGTATAGTGGTTAGGGGAGAATGATACCGAAGGTCCCGGGTTCGAATCCCAGAAAAGGCATGGACATAAAACTGTCTATCCCTTCATAGGAGGTAACAGTGACCGCTTATTATGTGCCTCCACAATAAAATGGCTACTACTTCTGGCCTTAGTAGTGGCTTATGCCGTTATAGAGCAGCTTCGTAAAAATGAAAGTTAAAGTTAATATCACTTTACAAGAGGGAAAACAAAACCAAACATGGGATTTCATTTATCAGCTTTTTAAAGCTTGTTTACAAAATAAAAACTTGACATCAAAAATAGTAAAATGTAACCAATTCGTATCTTAACCTCGTTGATAAAAGCCATAATTTAGAGAGAGAATGTTTGCAAAACAATATTCGGTTCCAGGCACCAGATTTTCGAGTAACTAATTCTGTATGCTGACTGTTAACTTGCAAAAGCGCATGAGAGAATTCTTTCAATTATCTACAGCTTACCTTATCGCATTTGGTGATTCAGGTCTATGGTCGTGCTTGATCATGGAATACCTTGCCAAAGTTTCTGGTGGACGAATGATTTCTAGCTTTCTATACTTTATTCTGCAAATAAAAAATACGAGAAAAGTATTTCAGATTGAATAATAGATAAGAAAAATATTTTAGTTATAATGGAGTGAAATTTTAACTCAAGATATTTGGTAATAGGTTACATTCACCCAAAACTTTAATTTCTTTCACCTTCTAAGCCAAACTTTACATATGAGCAATGTCAGTAATAAGAATTTATGTTTGAAATGACTGGATGAGAACCCTCTTGTAATAGACACTAATATTGTGCATGGGGTTTGTTGAAAACTGAACAGTATTTAATATGATTTGGTTACTGAACGGAACACCTGAAGTCCAAAGTATTTCGAGTGAAAAAAGGCATTCTGCGCATGCGAAAAATTTCATCTGCGCATATACATTAGTTGCATCTTATTAAATATACTGAAAAGAAGAAATTTTACATGTTATAGGAAACAGGAAAACGGCTAAACATGAGAGAGAAAGAAATGTATGTCATAAGCAAAGAATCATTTAAATAACCTATTTATACTGAAAGCAGTAACTAAATTTAAAAGCATATCTAAAACCATAAAAGCTTAAAAAAATAAAATAAAATTTACGAAATGGATAATTTTTAGACTAGGAAAAATTCATTTATCAACCTATTTCATAAGATCAGCATTCATCAATGTTGTTTTGTTACATTCAGTTTAGTATATTGTTATCTCTGCCGTGCAGTTTGCATCTGTCAATGTACATTTGCAATTAAATTGACTTTAACGGCTCTTGGTGAAGTCTCTCGTGGCTAAATTGTAGCGGACATGGATAAAGCGACAGTACGTGGCTTTAAAAACGATCATATTGAATATATCTGTACTAGTTGGAAACAATCCAGTGGTGTATCTTGATTGAATGAAGATTTTAAATCCAATTTTCAAATACTGATTCTTTAGAAAAGGAGCAAGATATCGCCATTTTCTTTTTTGAACTGGCTTGACAATCTTCGAAGCGACAAATTCCGAATCTTATTAAATACATAATAAGGTTGCCTCTTATTAAAATACATAATAAGGTTGCCTCTTATTAAATACATTCTGCCGCCCAGACGGTAGAGTAGTTAAAGCAACCGACTGCGATTCCAAAGGGCTCGGGATCGAATACCGGAGAAGAAGGAAATGTTTGCAACTGTCTGTCCTTTCTTAGGAGACAAAGGTGGCCCACCTATTTGTGCATCCATGCTTATTATTATAAATTGATCACCACTTCTGGCCTTATTTGCGTGAAGCTGATGTCGGCTGAAGGCCCACCATTGAAAAGTAGTAATTCTTTTCGCACGTCTTGGACAAAATATGTGTAATTGTGAGAAATAATTTCATTGTAACACTTGATATAGTAAATAAAACAAGAGTTTTGCTGAAAACATTAATTGCCTTTTCCTCAAAGAGTTAAGAGGAAATCATACTTAAATGTGTTTTCAAAAACAGTTTTCTATATAAAAATACATTTTTATGTAGAAATAAAAAGAAATGGCTTAGCGGAAACCTTCAAAAAATCTTAAAAAAAAAAACAATTATAAAGAAAGACAGTAGATTTTATGTAACACGTGCATTATGCTGAAACTTTTTTTTTAACAGTATTTTGAAAAACCAATTTTTAACTTCTTTTTTTTAATTTCATCTTCCTTTCTATCCTGGGAATTTAAAAAAAAATGATGGTGTGCGTTCAAGCATCGGCATTTTCAGAGAAAATGTGACCAAGCTTATGAATATAGATATTATAAACAAAATTTCTGATAGTATTTGCAGTTTTCCAATTAATCATTATTTTCCATTTACGTAATATCCTTTTTGACGGTCGGTAAGATATTCTTATCGATTTTACGTTAAAGTGGCTTACTGGTATAGAAAGGTTCTCTTACGATAAATATTCCTTTAAATTCTTTCTTAAAAATGTCTACATAACTTAAAAAACATACTATAAAATATTTAAACAAAAATATTTTACTGCGTAGCAGTTAAACATTGATAAATGGTGCAATGAGTCATAATATTTCTCGTCTACCTGCAAAAACCTATCAGTAGATGTAACTCTATTTGTATCAGTTATTTATTTTTTAAACTTTGTGATCAGGGTTTTTTTGTTTGGTTGGTTAATTTTTGCCAAACTCTGTGTAAAGGGAAGAATAAATTCATGGAAGAATTTCTAAGTATAAATGGCTATATTAACGTTACATACGCGACAGGCATATAAAGTTCTGCGTGAACTCATATAACATCAACTGAAGTTTCGTCTTGACAAAATACAGATGCAATCTTCGAATAATTTCGTTTCAGTTGCATAAGTGCGATAATCTTTCATGAAAAAAAAAAAAAAAAAAAAAAAAAAAAAAAAAAAAAAAAAATCGAAAATTGCTGTTACTGTTAGCTAAGAAGAGATGGAAGCATTCAAGACTTAAGAACAATGTGTACGTTTTCATGGAAATAGCATGAAAGTCAATCAAAATGTCACATTTCAGTGTAAATTGTAGTTGAATTGAATTTGGATTTATTATGACAAAATACACTTTCTTTTTTTTCGCCATCGACACAACAGTTGGCCCACTGAGTGATCTGCTCTTCAGCCTGTTGGATCCCGTCGATGGAATTAAGAACTAATCTAGAGCTTATTGTGTCTTCAAGGATCTCACGTAAAATGAGGAATATTGAAAGAAGAACCAGAACATCGAAATAAAGTTCATGGCGGGGACTGTTGAGACTAAGGGGAAAATGCTGATGATAGCTTATCTTGAGCACTTGACAGTTGCTGTTGCTTCCAAGAAGGTACTGTCATCGTCGAAATAAAGTTCATGGTGGGGACTGTTGAGACTAAGGGGCAAATGCTGATGATCACTTATCTTGAGCACTTGACAGTTGCTTTTGGTTCCATGAAGACACTGTCATCGTCGAAATAAAGTTCATGGTGGGTACTGTTGAGACTAAGGGGGAAACTGCTGATGATTGCTTATCTTGAGCACTTGAAAGTTGCTGTTGCTTCCAAGAAGATACTGTCATCGTCGAATACAATGTGCTCATAGTTGTAATGCGCATAGTTGTAGTGCCAAAATACACTAGGACTATTTACCTCGAAGGAATGTTCTCTTCCACGGTTTTCTAAGGGCAATTGGCTCATATTCACATTACAAAAGGGAAAAACCAGGAAAACTTTCAAGCAGTCAGTCCGTAAAACCATAAATTCTATTTATCTTTTTTAACTATTTTTGCAAATTTTTCTGGTCATGTTAGTCTTAAAGAAAAGGACTGATAAATCAAAACTGCTTTTATCAGAAAGCATTTAGTATCGCTTCATAAACGAAATCCTCAAGTCTACAATCATCTCTTTTTATTTTCTTTTTGTGATGCATATGTATATATTATGTAACAAAGCCAAAAAAAAAAAAACCTCATTTTGATACGAGTTTCTTGGTTTTATACAGTATTCCCTGCCACTGAGGCTCAATATACATTAACCAAATTAAGAACGCTTTAGAAATTCGCACTGAGGTGCAGGAAGCATTCTGCATTGCACAATATTGCTGATCTAAATATCACATTTTCTGTTTCTCTGTTGGTAAAATTAATCAAGAAGGAATTTTCGATTCTCGAATTAGATTTCTAGCGGCTTTTTCCATTTGAAAATTATTTTAATTACAGTTAATATTCTAGTTCTAATCCTTTTTACCATCAGCTTTTAAATAAATAACTTCATAAATGATTTTCACTTTCTTTCAATAGATGGAACTATTGGCTTTGTTTTCTGTTGCTAAGCCGGAAAGTTCTTGAATTGTGTGTAGTAGGGGGTAATTACCAGCCTTGGGCAGCAAAAAGAATCGATGCAGCCTCTCAAAGATTAGCATTAGTAAGCAAAGTTAAGCGGCAGCCAGAAATGGTAGTATCCAGAGGGGCCTGGTAACCGGAAAGGGCGTTACTTCCGATTATCAGGCTTCTCTAGATACTACCACTTCCGTATTCCAGTTCACCGAGTTCTTTCAAATTCGTAATAGCCTCCACGACCTTTGCTGAAACCTCACTACTCTGATTATAATGCTTACAAAAGATCTGCTCTGGGTCTAAGGAACAACAAATGTTGATTCGCTACTCAACAAGTCATGGGTTCCAGTTATTTTCGGCAAGATTTTAAGCTGTGCTGTGTCTGCTTTAATTTGTGACGGTGTGTGTGTTGTTATCGCGTGAGCAATTGTTTCCCTACGTCACTGTCATTCCTGCAGCTAAAGAAGAGGATTCTGAAAAAAAAAAAAAAAAAAAAAAAAAAAAAAAAAAAAAAAAAAAAAAAAAAAACCTTTCGAAACTAGTTTGGTTCGGCAGATTTGTTCTTTTACAAAATCGTGATACATAGAACATTCATAACTGAGCAACATAAACTTCAGGATATATTCCTCTAGTGTAAACGTGTTATTAAAACTTTTGCGTGTATTAAACTTTGGAATTGTCTATATCTCTTATCTTAACCCTGTATTTATTAATGGCGCTTGAATGAACGCAGAAGAAAATTTACGGTTATCCAATCTCTTGAAAAGATTCTTTTAATTTGAAATCGTCTCCAAACAGAAATTGAATTCTGCTAGTGATTAGCAATATAATCTCTTCCCAAACTAATAACAAAAGTAAAACATCTCCCCGTAAGCTTGTAAAGAAAATGCATCTTACTTATTAGAATACAGTACTTCATTGCAAGATACACTACAATTAACAATAAAATGTAGAAACAATTACCAAAAATATTTTAAAACCATTATTCAATTCAGACCAACAAAAACAAAAGAACTACACCAGAAATTCTATACACGGCGAAAGAATTGAGAATTCTACGCATTTAGTATTAATTCTGGAATAAATCACGAAAAAGAAAAGTAATTGCATTTTGTGCATCACGGAACAAATAAATTGCTCGGTGCTGTTTGTTAATTTATTTTTCCAAGCGAATAAATCAACGCCGAAAGATTGCGGTTTAATTTAAATTATTTGAAAAGGATTTCTCGCGCTGAATTCTTTTAATCTGATAGCTTAGTGCGGCAGAAGAAATGAAAATAAAAGTAATCTCTTCAGAAAATAATTATAATTATCTTCGTTCCCTTTTTCAAGAGAAGTATTTTCAAATTTCACTCTGAAGAAATCCAATTATTCTGAAAATTATTGATTATACCGTCAGTGTTGTGAGAGATACAAAACATGTTTGAAATTTCAAACCACAGTTCATAAAAGCAATTTACAAGCGACAGGAAATGATCCCGTTATAACATTGTATAGGTAAAGTTAATTTAAATTTTAGATTTCATTTATGCGACATAAAATAGTTTTCACTGTAACAATTATATTTAATTTTACCAATACTTCTATCCAATTATTCTTACGAATAATTTAGCTTAATTTATATACTGTTCTAGCTTCCCTTTGATTTAACATCACTAATATTCCAAAAGTTTATGGAAATTTAAGTCGACACAACAGAGTTTAAAATCTTGCCATAAATAACTGTAACTGATAACGTTTTGAGTATCGAGTCAATATTTGCTGTTCCTTAGACCCAGAGATCTGTTTGGAAGAATTATAATCAGAGCAGTAAGGTTTCAGCAAAGGTCGTGGAGGCTATTACGAGTTTGAAAGAACGCGGTGAACTGGGATACGGAAGTAGTGGTATCACGAGAGGCCTGATAATCGGAAGTAACGCCATTTCCGGTTAACAGGCCCCTCTGGATACTACCATTTCCGGCTGCCGCTTAACTTTGCTTACTACTACTAATCCGTGAGAGGCCGCATCGATTCGTTTTGCTGCCCAAGGCTGGTAATTACCCCCTACTATAGTCGCTAGCTGAGGATAAAATCCAGATGTCATCTTTCAGAAGGTTGGACTTCGATAATTGTAAATTAAAAAGAAAGTTGCGTAAATTGTTAGAAATTATTGTGGATAAGTAATTAAAGATTTATTTAAAAAATTCTCACTTAGTTGTAGTCCAACAAGAGTGAACAAAGAAATTATATAAGTTTAAATGTGTATTTCTAACTGGACTAACTGGGACAGCATTAGGAATGAAATAAGCAGTGTAAAATATCTATACTTAATTACTAATATAAGGTACAAATTTAATTCTTACCCTGACTGTATCTGTATTTAAAAAATGATGAAATCCATGATTTCGAATTAAGTTGTTTTTGAATATTTGTATAGATTAAAAATGATTTCTTCATTTCTTCATCAAAATACAAACAAGAAGCTATTGCAAGTTGATACTTTTTTAAGAGGTTCGTAATAAATCTGAAATGTTAATAAGTTACGATCATTTTTGAATAAAACCATAATTTCATCTTTACTGCAGATAAAAAAGGAATTTGACAATATGATCTTTTCAGCTGTGCTTTTACTTTAAATAAACATAGAGTGCTCAAATAATAAAATATCATATACACGCCACTATTTGTGACAAATTAATTTAAACATTTAAAAGGGGTGAAAGTTATTTGAGCACCAAATTCTGCATTCTCTAAAGGAATCTGACAACGATAAATTACAAGAATTTTCGACGCTAAAGACTGCCTACTGAAATATTGCAGAACTTTAGAAAATAAATATTTATGTTTTTTTAAAATTGGTAATTATATAAATATATTTAAAAACACGACTAGTGCTTCTCAGACATTTAATAAAATAAAAGAATGTGATGGGTAATTTTCCCCAAAAGGGAAATAATTTTTGAAATTTCGATTGCGCATTAAAAAGCATTGTATATTAGTGGAACGAACGATCTAGATTCGTTAATTCTTTACCTGTAGGCCATGTCGTCGTCTTCTCCACCCCATCCCCAATATAGGTTGGAGTAACCATTGACCATTAGGAAGTGTTCCAGCTTAATGGCAAACACACCACCCACCAGCATGGTATAAGGTAACCTGAAAAGAATCAAATCAGCTGTATAGCATTATATTCACTTAAAAAAATGGATTACTCAACACAGACAATGGTTCAATTAATGATCTTGAAGATAAGTATATTGTGACCTACCTCAGTATAATTATTCATTAATCGCCAATAGAAGACCAAAAATTGGGTACATATATTAAAATGTATGAATTTCAATCACAGATATTCAAATAGAATTTCAGCAAGCCATGCTTTTGGCATCAGTACCGTAAAAAAATAATTTAATGAGAGTTTAATTTTCAAATTAGGGTAATAGTTCATCTCATGCAATCAAAGAAAAGATAATTTTGTGCAGCAAAGCTGTAGCACAGATGGAAAACAAATTCGCATATGAGATATAAAATGCGGAAGAAAATTGATAACTTTAATTTAGCAATAGTCCTCTTAGATCCTCATTTTAATTTGGATACGTTCCCTTCCTGGAATCAAATGTGTGTTATCTGGAAAACTAATCTGTGTTGTGTGTGTTCTTATTAATCCTGCAATGAGGTAAGCTCTTGTCCAATCGTAATCCAAAATTTAAACAAAAAAGCCAACTCTATAAATACTCATGGCTGAAATGCACCCTATGCTAAGATGTGTTAAGATACGCTTCTCTGATCTCTAAGTTGTTCATAGTCTAAAAAAGTATGATATACTACACAAAACTGCGGTATTTTATATCGCCACCATAGTCATCTGTAAAAAAGGCTATGTATCCTTCGAATTACTTAACGAGAAATAAAATTGTGTATTATTATTATCTCACGGAGGTCAGACTTCAGCACTATCAGAATCGAGAAGACACACTACTTTTTCTCTTTCGTCTGTTCGTCGCTCTCCGTCGGGAGGAACCTTCCGCGGGGCTGTCCATTTCACCTTTTCTGCTCAGCGCAATCGTGAAAGGGAGAAATGCAAATTTTTATGTCTAACATTATCTACGCTAACGTCAGTTAAGTTTCTTCTCCGTTATTATGTTACCTTATGTATCTACGCTATCTTCTAATCCTCAAGTTATCTAGAGAATTATCACATATACATTTAATTGCGAAAAACTCGTTAACTTTATAGAAGTGAAAGAACAATTCTTATAAAATTGAGCAAAGAAAATTTTACTCGGCGTCAGTTTTGTTTTAACGAACGAAAAAGAAATTCAAAAATACTTAGTTAACAATGTCCTCATTTGCAGGTACAGAAAAGAAACAAAGCAGGTGGCGCCATCTAGGTATGCAAAATGGAATCACATTATCAGTGGGGAAAAAGTTTAGAATTTAAAACTGACTAATGTAAAGAAAAATAATGGATATACAGAAAACTAACTCTAGTTCGCCAACTGAGAAACTATCTTCGATGAATTTGGCAGAAGCAAAAATTGTGCTTTGCAGACCAATGCTGTCTAATGTTTGTGCTTTTGTTTTCGAATAAAAATTTCATGTTCCTTGATGAAAAAATTTAAAGCATTTTTGGTTAGATCTATGTCTGGCAAGCGTCAATGACAAGGAATTCTATAAATTCCTCAAAAATTCATATCAGGCATCGAATACTTAAAGTTAGAATTGTATATTTTATTGACCAGAGAAATAAAGGCAACTTCAGTGTTAAGCGAATAGCAGCAATTTTATAACTGACAAGAGAGAAGAGAAGTAAAATGATTGATTAATGCATTATTACTATTATTGATTAAGAAAGAAAGAATGATTTTTCGTAACAGAAGTAGCCATTTTTTAAACGCTTGGTCTCTGTTAAACGCAGTGATGAATATGAAAAACCCGTTCGATCAAATATAATGGTGTCAAGATTAGGGTTATAAGCACGTACATAAGATATCTCGATTCTATAATGAAATTGTGTATAACAGATGCTCAATAGAATGAGACAGTTACTAATAATATAACAAAATATCAACATGAACAATGTTTTATAATATGCAAATTCAGCCGAAAACAGCCCAAATATCAAAATTCATATTTTTAAGAATGGTTCAGTTGTATACCATTCGGGAATTACGAGAGGAATGTGGTCGCCAAGCACAACTTTACTTGCCTTAGATTGGGTTTACGTATTGCAAATGAAACCTGTGATTATAGTTCAGGCAACTAATGTCGCGAAATTCAAACCTAGGATTTTAATGTCTGGAGGACTTTGCGAGAGCATCCACTCTCAGAAAAGTGGGGAGTTTGCTCAATAGCTCTTCCTAAACATACTTAAATGTTCTAGATTTCTAGAAGAAAGTTGGAAACTGTTGCTACTCACACCATACGGTGATAGTACATTTTTCAGAAAATCGTGACTGAAAAATACATTTTTCAGAAAATCGTGACTGAAAAATACATTTTTCAGAAAATCGTGACCAGTTGAGCTCTGTGTGGCCTTATGTTATCGTCTATAAAAATAATGTCACCTCTGGATCCCCAGAAAAGACTCATAAAATGTTCAAGAGCTTTTTGCCTACAACGATGTGTGGTCATGCACTGACACATAATGGTGTTTGGCTGTCAAACCAAGAATTAAGTATCCAAAGTGGTTCATTTATTTTGGAGGGGTGATAGCGGATTTCAGGCTTTTCTCAGGTGAAGCCATTCCAAGAATTATGTTGTATAAAGAAATTCTACTCATCACGAGAGAAGATATGTCTTCGAGCTTTCCATATTCGTGTCTGGCTCAACAGAAAACAGGCTGTCTTGGATCTGTTGAGAGGTACATATAATCTGGTCTAAGGGCATAAAGGCCCTATTCTGCTAGGTATATACTTTGTCTTGGAATTTCTTTTATCTATACGAAGCAACGAGGTACTGAAAAAACATTCTAGCCGTAGTCTGTCTAAGTTATCGTGCATTTAATGCAATCCTTCGATCTTCCACAGGTTTCCTGGGTCTTGACGGCCCATCTGGTAATGGTACCCATAGTTTGTATTGGTGCCATAACCTAGATATTACGCCTAGTAACACTCTTAACCATCGACCTAAGCTTGAGATGTCCTACCTCAAGTTTAACAAGGCTATCTATTTCAGTTTATTGTCCAAATGGTTATGAGAACTCACTTCAACTGAAATCAATCCTTCCGTTTTTCTTGCAGAAAATACAATTTTTCAAATGAACTTCACAGATTTAGAAACCAGCCACTTTCTTATAAAATGCTTCGTTCTAATATTTTCAAACGTTATATGCCTACATTATAATTACCGTTTCGCAAGTACCGTTAATTTTCTGCACCAACGTATTTGAATTCCCTGTTAAGGATAGATTGGAGAAAATCTTGAGTGTATGAAAAGACCTAGCGTCGTTATGTTGTTATAACTTAATTTTACTCTGAGAGTCATTCTTTCCAGTTTCACGTATTATCCCTGCCAATGAGATTTCTTAAAAGTATTATCTATCATCTTTACAGTTTAGTTCCAAGCATTAGTCAGCAAGGATGGTTATTAACAAGATCCTTTATTAAGAGTATTTGAATGCTTAAACAAGCGTGTTCTCAAATAGCATTGGAATTTCTAAATCATGTAATTATACTCTTGCATTTAACTAAAGAAGTAAATTTTAAAGACATTTTTTATTACTATGCTAAATTAATTACTTTGCCTGTGTTATTATTGTCCTTGCCAAGGAATTTGTATCATCTAAACCAGTAAATAAAGTGCAATAATAGTTACCCACAGTACATAAATTAATTTAAACAGCTTTTGCTCGAAACAAAGTATGCATTTTTAAAAATGTATAAAAAAGAAGCAAAATAAGATCCAATAAACATACAAATTTAATTTGTATGCTACGTGCATCTACATTTCTTCAATCGTAACTTACAGATTTTTTTAAAGAATGAACACAAACGAGAAACATAAATTAATTTTTGAGAAAGAATTACACTTTATACACAATGCAAGTTTCCTAAATATAAGTAATAAATATAATGTATGTATTTATGAAAAAAATCAGCTTTATAATGTTTGAGTTCCCGTTTACAAATTATTTGGCTCTCTTTGATTTCGTGAAACTTATTTATTCGAATCAAAAATTCAAAACGATTTTGCTCTTTTACTGGCAATCAGAAACTGTAACTTATTATTTTAGCTCCGTAAAATGGAGCTAAATTCGTTATTATTTATGTGTTCAGTGTTTTAACATTGCTTCCTAATATCTAACAATCAACTGTTAAATTAACTGGAATTTCGTAACAGTTATTCAAGCGTTACAAATGCAGTTGCTTTTAAATTAAAGTACACACACATATTTATATATATATATATATATATATATACATTCAGGATAATAAAAACATCTAGCAAAAACCGAAAGACAGAAATAAGTAGATTTCATAGCAAGTGTGCGTTAAAATGCAGCGTTGAGATGGTACAAGGCGTTGTTAAGCGTTAGGTAAACGTAGTTTGTTGGCTTAGGTCGTGATTTCTCGAGCAGATTTCAAGCAGCATATATCGCTGCATGAACACAAAATTCACAGGCATGCATTTTATCTACGGAGCTGAGGTGGATAGGCTCAAGCTAAGGAACAAATGATTCCTAACTGCCTTGGAAAAGGAAGATTTACGCTTTGCACCTCTTCAAACAGCCATTTTTCACGCGTACACATTTCATGACAAAAACTCCCTAATTAAATCCTCTGCATATATTTTTACATGAACACAAAATTGAACACAAAATTCACAGGCATGCACTTTATCTACGGAGCTGAGGTGGATATACTCAAGCTAAGGAACAAATGATTCCTGACTGCCTTGGAAAAGGAAGATTTACGCTTTGCACCTCTTCAAACAGCCATTTTTCACGCGTACACATTTCATGACAAAAACTCCCTAATTAAATCCTCTCCATATATTTTTACATGAACACAGAATTGAACACAAAATTCACAGGCATGCACTTTATCTACGGAGCTGAGGTGGATATACTCAAGCTAAGGAACAAATGATTCCCGACTGCCTTGGAAAAGGAAGATTTACGCTTTGCACCTCTTCAAACAGCCATTTTTCACGCG